AATCCAGGTGGGTAATCCGTGTTCAGTGGTCCCCAGATGGTGCAAATGGTTTGCACTAGACAAGTAACCTATAGATTGGAGGTTCAAATCTACCCACTGGTGCTGTAGAAGAAAGGCCTGGCAATCGGTTCCCATAAAGAATACAGCTAAGAAGACTCAATGGAGCAGTTCTACTGTATAACACGTGGGGTGGCCATGGTTGCAATCAACTTAAGAGCAGCAGGTTGAGTCTGTGAATGTGCTTGTCTGTGTTGTGCATGCTTTAGTTTTGCCCTGTTTAATCCCTAGGTTATGTGTTGGCTACCCATTGGGCTGCTAAACACAAGGTCATCAGTTCGAAACCACCAGGTGCTGTTTGGAAGAAAGATGAGACTTTCTACTCCTGTAAAGAGTTACAGTCTCAGTCACCCCCAGGGGCAGTTCTACGAGGCTTTCTACTCCCACAAAGTCTTAGAAACTCACAGAGGCAGTTCTAGTCTGGCCTGTAGGGCCACGAGGAGTCAGACAGGGCTGCATGGCAGTGAGTTTGGTTTGGGGTCTTCTCAACTATGGGAAGCTCATTGCTTTTATCTTAGCACACACTTCATTCTCCTTCATCAACCAAATCCTGTTTCAGTGTGTGGGATTGGGTCCTGGTCGGGGAGAGACTTGTGTGGACAACTCTTGATTTTGACAATTAAACTTACTTACGGGGGGCATTGGGGGGGGGTGAGCTTTTCTGTCAGTAAAACCAAGGTATCACCACACTGCATGTGCTACCTGGGCAATTATGCCCCATAGAGGTCCCCATGCTTAAGGATGACCATGCACATGAAGGGGCTTCAAGTCGGTCATGGAAAAATCCATGGTTTTAGTTGCATTTTTCCATGAACTTTTTAAAGCCCCTGTGTGTGTGTGTGTGTGTGTGTGTTTTCAGGAGGGGCAAAAAAAAGCAGATTTCATTTAAATGAAATATAATATAAAATAGTTAATGGATTCTGGGAATTTAAAAAAAGAACCATTCATAATAATAAAACTTTCATTTGCTTTGGAGCAAGTAATCTTATGGTGTGATTTTATTGTCTTGTTATTTTAGTCGTGGTTTAAGCCAAGGCAGAAGAATGCTTTACCCAAATGTTCCTTTAGTCAGAAAAAACCTGTCTCTTTTAGATTGTATTTTGTCTGAAATGGACTAGGTCACATATAATAAATTCTGGAATTTTAATGGAAACATTAGAGCAAAAATAGTTAACAATCTGCTTTAATTTAAAAACTCATTTTCTCTTTCATATGGTCAGGCAGTATCTCGGTAAAATGTGCAAAATGCATTGGGATTTAATTGTGATGGCAATTTCTTCTGAAACAGGGTTAAACTGGGCTGTCAAAATTCAGGATAAAGGGCTGGGGGTGGCAGATAGGTGGGTGACAATGGCTTGATGTTCCTGAGTCTGGAATGCCATGTGGACCAGAATGGAGTTGGAGCTCTGGCACAAAACGGCTATGGTTTTAGTCAGGGGAAGGACTGGAGGTTACTGAGAGCATAGACCGAGGCTGTTGACACCCATGGAGCCAACCCTCATGAGGACTGATGGGAAAGGAAAAACTGGGCATCTGTTTCTTAGTGTCTCAGCCCGGAATCCAATTCATTCATTCATTCATTCTTGCAATAAATAGTTGAATGTCATTGTGCTAAGTGCTGGAAATATAAAGACAAACTTTTCCTACCTTACATAGATTATAGGCCATGGAGAGAGAAATGTGTTCATTCATCAAAGAATAGCATAAATATATGTACAAGTACTACAGGGCCCAGAACCCTGATGGGAGGCCCTGGGTGCCAGGTGAGTGAGTGAGAGGGCCAAGTGGTCTGGTCTGGGCAGTGGTGGTGGTCGGTGTAGAAGGCATTGCCTGGGGTGAGCAGTGGAGGTGGAAACTGAGCGGAGAGGGTGGTGTGGTGGGAAGTGTCCCAGACACAGGCAGGCAGAGTGTACACAGACCTGTTGAGGCATAAGGAGAGGGGATGCTAGATTCATGGATCATTGGACCCATAGAAGCTACATGTGACTAGAGAGCAGATAGCTGCTGCAGTGACAGGGCCTGTACTGAGGAAATCAATGGGGTCT